CTCAAAGACTTTTCTTTGGGTCTTGTGCCAGATAGAAGTGGTTTAGGCCAAGTAAATGAAGCTGAAATGGCTATACGAAATGTGGGCTCGATGCCTCAAGGCCTAAGAAAGCAGACTAGGTCAAACCCACTAGTGTCATATATCTTTTACTTTTTACGCCAAGGCTTGGACTCAAGTTTGGTGGGTCGGGTTGTATAAAATGGAAACTGACAATCTATACCACTCCTCCAATTTTCTCACATTCCAAAGCATAATTGGTTTTTAGGGCATTAACAACATAATCAATCATTAGATATTGACCATGCTTGTTCCGCTGAGCTCGATTATTCATTGTTATTTTATTTTATTTTTATTTTACTATGGGTCTGTTTGATTCCCTTGAAAAATTTATACCTTCTAGTAAAGATTGGTTTATTTTGTATGGGTATTGTTGTTCACCTGATGTTGATGGAGCAAAGCTTATATGTGTTTATTTGTTTTTGTTTTTTTGGTAAGGTGGCCTTTCAAGTGAACCCAAAAGGCCTTGCTTCGTCCTTTTATCTTGCTCTCCCTTTTTGGTTGAAATGTTTGAATATTCAATAGCATTAGTTTACATTCTGTATTGTTTCTTTATGTTGAATTGCTTTCTTTTTGCTTTTGTACTTGGTTTGCTTAAGAAGCACATTGCTTTCCATAGCTTGTATGAGACACAAGATACATTTTGTTTTTTCTTTTCTGTTAATAATTGAAAATCAGGCAGATGATTGCCATATTATCTTTTTTGGTTGACCTTCAAACTAAATGATGGATTGCAGCTCTTATTGTTCTTTATTGGAACAACAACCAAGGTTGGAATGTTTTGGAAATTCTTTGAAAAACTAGATGTACAAGTATGTATTATAATTGCTTTGTGCGTACTGTATGTATATGTAAGTATTCAATTACTGAAGCTTGAACTCAACAGAATTGCAATTGCTTACAAGTTTCTAGGGTAGGTATGCTTTTATGATTTACCTACTTAAATCCATCGCCACAAGTTTACGGCCAAGTGTAAAATGGTGGGGCCATATATTTTAGCTTGATTTATAGGAAATTTCTTTAAGCTTATATCAATCTAACCCTAAAACACTACCTTCTTTTTCCCACCGTTGTTGTGAGCTCTTCGTGCCTCTCAATCTACATATTTTAGATTATATCGATCTAACCCTAAAACCCTAACAATGACAATGATGGAGAAGAAACAAAGACGAATTGCGAGAATTGATTGTCCAAAATCTTGCAACATTTGCTTCACAAGGTGCCGCCAACAGTGGCGGAGGGAAGTGAGGACCAGGGGGGTCACGTGCCCCCCCTGGACCTTGGGCTTCTTCATCTTCTTCTTTTTTTTTGTTACAAATATAAAGAAAATATTTTAAATAAAAAAAATTACAAAAATATTATTAGAGTAAAATGTTAATGACATTTTAAAAATTATGAGAATAATAATGATTATTTTGATTGAAAATGAAGAGACTATTATAAATCATATTATCTATGAAAAGTTTATGAAATTTTTTGAATGTAACGGTGAGCCCATTATTGTTGACATGCAAGTATAAGTAATCTCACTATAAAGATATGAATTTATTAGATTGTTAGTTACACTTGACATGTGAAATTCTCTCTATGTGTTTATTTACTATTAGTTGGTAATATCACATACTAATAATGACGTGGTATTACCATTATATTGAATTTTTAATCAAATTTTGTATAAAAAAGTTATTTATCATTATATAATTTATTTTAAGACTTATATCTATTTTTTTTTTATATTGTCCATGATACACTTGTTATAAATAGCATTCAGTGTGTTTGGTTTGAATTTTTTGAATTAAGTTTTTTGAAAACTGAGTTTTTTAGTTTTCGTATTTTTTTATTTTTAGTGAATATTTTTAAAATTTTGAACATTTTTTTTTTTACTTTTTTAGATACACCTTACTTAGACGTATCTAAAAAGTAAAAAATTTGTGAAAAAATATTTTTAAAAATTAATAAATACATAAAAATATAAAAAATGTACTAAATTCTCGTATTTTTTTTTTGTATTTTTGGTATTTAGTGAATTTTTAAAAGGTTTTTTTCAATTTTTTTTACTTTTTAGGTATATTTATGTTAGGTAAATCTAAAAATTAAAAAAATTGCTCAAAATATTAAAAAAATTCAATAAAAACAAAAAAAATGAAAAATAAGAAAGTAGAATTTTCTGAAAAGTGTTTTTGAAAAATGGTAACCAAGCATGGTGATTATTTTTTTGATGTTTCTCGAAATCAATCGTAAAAACTTGCATGAAATATTTTTGTAAAATTTTTCGATATTGTAATTAATAAGTGCCTCTAATTTAATTTTCTGGCTTCGTCACTAGCCATCAAAGCCTTTTTAAAAAAGCTGTGGAACTCTCTCGTCTCCACATCGCCGGCGTCGCTTTTTCTCCCGTCGGCACTCCTTCTGATTTGGCGACGGCGCTCTGCAAATTGAATTGGCATTCGGTGGATGTTTCAAAGTTTAACTTGTTGGATCTGAAAGAATATGCGAGTAATTTGGAGAAATAGCAGTCCTATTTATTGATGTCTCTTGAAGAGATGAAGTGTAAGAGAGAATTCATGGAAAGGAGATGATGAGGAAGTTGAATTCACTTTTGAGGAGCTCATGTCAGATGATTTGGATGTTGGATATTGTTGTTCAATTGTCTGAAGCAACGAAAAATAATAAAGAATGTGAAGCGATGGTGAGAGAATTGCTAGTTCATGATCATGATTTGTTTACATTTCAGATGCACTTAAATGTATTTTTTAGATGCACTTAATTTAAATATATTTTGTTTGGATTTAAATTTTTTTGTGTAGATGAAATACGCAATGTGCTTGATAAAATGAACGATTCAGATTATCGAAACGCGACATGTCGTAGGCCTCAGGGGCCAAAATAATGCTCTCTAATCCAAATTTTGAAATGAAAGGGATCTTCCTCTTAATTAGATTCCCTACTCCCTATGAAACCTCTTAAATTAGAGAGAGAAAAAAAGAATCACTAATTTAGTTATTTTATATGAGGGAATTCTCTCCGATCCACTCTTAAATTACAGAAAGAAAAAAAAACACAGCCACTAATGTAGTTATTTTATATGAGGAAATTCTCTCCGGTCCATAATTTAAATTGAAGAGCGCTATTTAGTCTTATGAGGTCTGTCATAGATCTCGTTTTGATAATTCGTACTATTAAAGATGTTGGACATTTCATTTTTTATTTTGTGAACACAGAAAAATTATATCGATTTAATAATCATAACCTATTTAATTTATTGCATTTGTCATAACGAAAAAAAAGGACAATTATAATCTATTCAATTTAAATTAATTTTACAAACCTGTATCTCAGCTCTCCGAAAGCGAGCTATGCTCCTTCCTTATGCTTCAATGCATAATATTAGAGTACATAATATTTTAATTATTAAAGTATTTGTAATAAGTGAAACATTGTTATATATTTTTATGTATGTTGGAACGTTATATTGGAAGACTTTTTAATACAATTTTATTTTATAAAAATTAGTTTGCTCGCATTTAAACCATCATCAGCAACAAGCATTCTAATAGAAAACCAACAACCAACCAGCAACCGACCAACAACACAAGTGCACTAGAAAACCAACTGTAGTAGCCCAAGTTTACAATGGTTGTGATGGATTTAGTGTGTTGTTGGAGGGAAGGAAAGAGAGATTTTCAAAAGAGACTATAAGAGACAGTTGTCGCCATCTCCTCCCTACTCAAGGTTTTGCTCCCACTGTGAAATGTGGTGGTGTTGCCAATGGAGAAGGAACGGGAGGAAGATGGAAGAAAATAGTCGAAGATAAGGGGGTGTTTGCTTGTTATGCTAATATTAATGTGGCTTGTTTGGTTGCAAGGATAGATTCAGTTTTTTTTTTTGGGTCAAAGATAGAATGTTAGTATGTTAGTAAAATTAGATTATAAATTTAAAGAACCGCCGTTGATCTATCAACTCGAACCTCAAACTTTCCACTCACCGCAGTAACCCTAAGGCGAGGCTACATGCCGGTTGGCCACAAGGGCCTCGGCCGGATGGATTTAGTTGGGTGTTCAGTATTTAAGAAATAAAAGGTAATTTTGGCATCTAGTTGCCAAAATATACTGATATAAATAAGACATTTCCGTTGCTAAGAAAGAACAGTGTAATTTCATTTTAGAAACCACAGGGAAGTCCGTGTAATTAGCCCATAAATAAAACAAAACAACCAGATTCAAAATGACAGAAGACACACAAAAAAGCATTGGAAGGGTAACGGTATAATGTGTATACTTAATTCACAAAAAGGCAAATTACACAAAATAATAGGTATAATAGACTATTAGCACAACTGTAACAACCAAAATATAGCTCTATTTGATGCAATTAAAAGTCACTCTCACAAACAACATCACTAGTCTAAGCGTATAAAGGTGAAAAGGTTGTTACAAGGAATAACGGGTTGCGAAAGAAATTCTCATATCCTGAAACTCAACTAGCACAACAGTCTTCCCGGTCACAAATTATAAGGAATGGGATGGGATCCCAAATTTAGTTCTAGCTTACTTTTAGTTTTCTTCATTTTCGCTTTAAATCGAGATTTTGCCACTAGTGCAAAATTCCCAACTGCCATAACAATCAATAGCACCCCACAGGTAACAACGTGACCAAAAGTAAATTAGATAATCTATTAAGTTTTATCCCAGTATGAGAATGGTTATTAAAATCGCGATCCGGATCGTAGGATACGATCCTATATTGCTAAAAAGATCCATATCGTTGTAGGATGGGTGCTACAATAGGACCGCAAGTAGGATCATATGGGATCGTGTAGAATCGTATAAGATCATAGGTAGGATCATAAGTAGGATCGTTGATTTTTTGATTTTTCACTTTACGATCCTACCTAGGATCCCGATTTTAACAACCTTGAGTATGAGTCCAACTAAGATGTTAAATTACTCAAGCAAATACTGAAATAGAATTAAGAATTTAATCTTAAAAGCAAAGTAAATCACAAATATAAAACCCATGGCAATACTTCTCCAAGCATCCACATAACAATACTCAAAACATACTTCTTAACTGCCACTCAAAAACAACACCAGCTAGTGCAGCTTTAAGTAGCAAAATTCCGACATATGCTTCAAAACCCTGAAATCAAGAACATACAAATAAAGGTCACTTAAATTTAGCTCAGATCTCCATGGTGACATATTGTTGCTTCATCTATTGGATTAGTAGCAACTAACAAATGAAAGTGAACAATTAATTTGCGAGACCTATTACTGAAGAAAATATTAACAATTAAATTGTCGCCGATTACATAAAATTGGCGACTAATTTCAGTTTGGTTGCTAAAAAATGTCGCCAAAAAAATGTTTTTTGTTGTAGTGTTTCATTATTTTTTTCACTGAAGGATTGGGCAATTAATGATCATCATGCAATGATGTACAGATTCTTTCCTTTTTTTGGTGAGCATGCCTCTTTCTAATATCTTCAAAGAAAAAAACGAAAAAAAAAAAATCAAATAACTTCATGGTGACATCATGACATGTGAGCCAAAGAAGTTCAAAAGAGAGAGAGAGCTGTGATGAAAGAGCAAGTTGCATTACATGTATAAAACTAGGATTGTTGGATGGCAAACTAGAAGAGAATGATAATATGACTTCAACTTCATTAAGTAATGAAAGAAAACACTCAAGGAATGTGATGATGCTTGGTAGTAACAAAAACTTCCCTTCCCTAGCTGTTATATATATTTAATTATTTATACATGTACATAACTTTTGGCAAGTTATGTAGGAAAAAAAATGAATATTTAACAACCTTAATTTAAATCGCTTTTGTGTTTGTTTGATTCAACATGACTTGGATGGCAAAGCATACATTAATATGATCTTTTGTGGGGATGGTCCCCAAAACAGGCATTTGTACAACTTAAATCACCTGTAATATGAATAGAATGGGTGCCAACAACCATAGTTGACCGTCGACTCCAGCAGTTTCTCCCCAAACAACGTCCATTCTCCTAGCCTGCAATTAACAACGAGATCAAATGGTAAGAGTCATCCCAGACCTGCAGAGGAGAACAACTGCAATAAACATTATATGCCCACCAAAAAAAAGTTATATTTGTATTTTGATGGGCCATAAAAAACTAACACAGATCGGCTGGAAGACAAACATGGTTATTGCAACCAACAGAAGCAAAAGAACTCATTGAAGTTCTGCAAACCATGCAGGACGACAAGGTTTCACAAAGAGCACCCAACCAAGTGCAGACACACACGCAAAGTAGATTGCAGAAAGAACTGAAGATAATAAAGGCAAAAATGAAGCATGCACAAAAAATCGTTGGTGAAAGGAGTTTTTTTTGTTTTTTCTTTTCAATTACACCTTGCCGAGTGCAATATGTGTACAAAGCCTTTGCCGTTGATATCTATTTTGTAGAAGCATTGCAACTCCTTGCATGATAGCCCATTGAAGGAACAATTGCACCCCTCTCCGCACAGTACATGTACAGTCTCACTCATTAAAAAAAAAAACAAAAACAAAAACAAAAACAAAATTTCAATATGCACTTAAGAAGGATAATAACCTGCTTCTGGGTCTCCCAAGTGAGACTGATAAGTGCCATGGCCATAGGTTTCTACAAGGGTCCAGCAAGACTCCGTAAACTGTCCCAACAACTGTCACAACATTGTCTGCTACAACAGAAGCTAAAGTGGATCGGACCCACAAATAAACTTCTCTCCATCAATGGCTATCTTCTTATCCCGATGGGCGGACACTGCCGATGCCGAAAGAGAGGCCATCTGAACCAGGTAAATGCTGGCGACCTCCAGCTGACTTGACCAGTGATGCCCGTAACCACAACCCATATTGATTTGGACCAACTGCAACCTTTTCATGATCTTCAATCTTCTTCATGCAAGACCACTTATCATGACCAATAACACCACAATAACTACAAAAGGTGGGCAATTTTTCATAGCGAAATTCAACCCAATGCGTAGAATCATGCCGAATCTTGGCCCCTCGCTTGAGCGGGGAGAGAATGTCAATAACTACTAAAACTCGTATAAACCTGCCTTCACGACTACCTTTTTGTCTCACT